AACTGCGATGAACTCGCTTGCATGAATTTTCTTTGGGTACTGATGGGATAAATTTTCTTAGCCTTGAGTCTCTTTTAGTCCTTCTGACCTTATACTTTTCTGAGATTTAAGTTTATGGATATTCGTAGCTATCAGTTCCAACTAAATTAGTTGGCTAAGTTCGTTCCAAGAATGGTAGAATTTCCTCTCTTAAGTGGGCGGAGCCCACCAAGTACTTCGGAAAATTAAGTCCAAGCAATTTCAATTACCTTTCAGGAACTTGGTTGGTGTGAACTAAACGAAATGCCTAACATTATGCATTGTCTTTACGAACTCTGCAGAGAATGTAAGGATTTACCCACTGTTACCAAATTATACACGATTATTGGGACAATAATTAATTCAGCTCTCAGCGATACCCCACAATCGGAATGGTTATGCTCACTAATCCCAGATACTCCTGATATGGCCTATCAATTCTTAAACATCCAACAGACGAAACCTAAGAAGGCCTGGAAGCCGTACCATGACAAATTTCTCAGAGAATCTCCTCGAGACGAGTTGTAACTTTTGCCATTGTCGACTGATCGGACGATTGTATAAATGAAAACAATTTGTACCATGTAATCACATTTAAAACCCATAAATTTTGGTGACTCCATAATTTTACACTCTTTCTTTATCAAACTCGTCCCAATTTTCTCATTCCACACAAATGAGCAAACCCAATGCTTTGAGAATTGCTGTTTCGCAATATTTTCACTTTTATTCTCTCAAGGGCAAACATCTTCAGATGGTGGATAGTGGCACCAGTGAGCAAATACAATGAACAGTCTCTATTTGCTTTGGAACGGCTTATCTCGAGTAAATCAAGCAAATCTATTGCTCAGATAGAGCGCAGCAGGGGAAAAAAAGTAGCAATGTCTGCGTCAGAAAAACTTGCAATTTTTTAGCCAGCGAGTGAACAAATGCTGCGTCAGCTTCTGGAAAATACGTCAGAAAACTGATAGTATGAGTGGATGAGTTAGTGGATGATGGGTGAAAGAATAATTAAATACACAAATCGTTAAATAAATATTTGGATGAATGACGTCATTTTAACAGAACCACGGCAGTTGGGATGATTGATATCACTAATGTTTGTTAATTTCAATACATGCGCAGCGCAGGCAACAATTAAAATGTTGCTGTTTCGGACGAGATTCAGACAGACACCCTTAGGAAGCAATACATAGGCAGTGAGATACAGAGAATTGGATAGCTGAGAGAGTGCAGCTTAGCTGGAAGAGAAGAGGGCAAATGTCCTTCAGGCTCGTCGCACATCGATTCTCCCCACGGGCAGGCAATCTAGAGCGGACTTTTGGTAATTCGTGACAACCGAATGACAATTGACTGCTGTCTGGTCGCACACGCTATTTTTCCGCTTGGCATGGTTCCAACGACTTTTATGGCTTGGCCAAACTTCTGCTCTGCATCAGATCGTAAACTTGTAGTTTCTGGGATATGCCATGAACGAGTCTGGGGCTTAGGTTGTAGAACCAT